TTCTAGAATACAAAAACAACGCCACATCAAAACAATAGGAGAATCTTAAATTTCTTATTAAAGATTATTTTGCGGTGAAGATGACGGTCGTTAATGCACTTTGTTGTCATTTAATTGTTAGATAGCTCAATATACATTGTTGGGTCCATTTCCTAATAGTTTAAGCTTTTGAAAAAAATTGGTAATGTAACATGGTATCAAAAAGGGTGACCATTGGTTCAATGGTTAAATCTTGGCCTGATAACCTTAAGGTTATGGGTTCAAATCTTGGGGCCACCACTTTGTGCATTACGCCAAAGGTTAGGTGTGTACTCAATCTTTCCCCTCCCAAACACACATTAATGTGTGTTAAAATTGATGTATTATTGATTGATGTAATGTTATTGTGTATATTACAAATGGTGGGTGGCTCATTATATAGGAGAGGGTGAGTGTAGTAGGTGAGAAGTAGGTGGTGGTAGGTGATGGTAAATTTTAACAATGTGTACTAATTGAGCGTTGTTTTTTGTAACATGGTATCAGAGTTTTGGTTAAGAGAGGTCTTGGGTTCAAGTCTCTTAGTTGACATTTGGTATTTTGTCCGTATTTGGTTTCTCCCTTTTTGTTTTGTTGTTTACTTCTCCTTCTATTTGGTTCTCTATTTGTTTCTCCACGTGCAAGACGGGGTTGCACTTGAGAGAGGCTGTTAGATAGCTTGATATACATTGTTGGGCCCATTTCCTAATAGCTTAGGCATTTGAGAAAATTGGTAACTTAACACTAAAGGTGGTAAAAAAGAAAAAGAAAAAATTTATTCATGTGCCAACATTTTTTTAAATGTTTCTCATATTGACATGCTGTTGACAAATTGGTGGACGATGGATCCTTGTATTGTTATTATAGTTGTTTAACTTTTCAATGTCAATGTCATGATTGGTAGAAAATTACAAGTTAAATAAATTACACTAGCAATATCCATTTGTTGCATGATTTCTTTTCCCTTTCCTAAGTGAGAATTGCTTGTTGATGGGTTCTTGACTTGTTTATGGGTATGACTTTGATAAGTTTTATAATGCAAATATATGTATTGAATGGTATAACATTCCTTGTTTTTTAAACTAAAATATTAGTTGTTAATTTCATCTAATCATTAATGTCAACCTTGTGGAACTTCTCTAATATGTACCGATTTTGATTGCATTTTGTTCTTTGAAGGGATTGGAAATAAGCAAAGAAGCATGACATGGAATAACAGGTACACAATACATGTCCTATTCTTGAACTTTATGTTCTCTCTTTTGTATTTGTATGTATGCTTCTTGAACTTGTATTCACTAGTTAATTGTTTCAAATTTGCATAACAGTCCTTCTCTATTTTTTTCACCTTCATTCTTTTCGTCTCTTTCACTTTCCAATGCCGACCAATACTCCAATGCCCTCCATAGCCATCCCCCACCCCTTCTCCAACCTCCACAACCACTGTCACCGCTATGGAGGGCAAGAAAGTAGTGGTCGGCATTGGAAAGTGAAGGAGACAGAGAGAATGAAAGAGAAAAATAGAGAGGACAAAGTGCAAAAGTGGGAGATGAGGTGCAAGTCCATGTGTAGGGTGGTGTGGGGTGCAAGTCATGTCTATGTGGAGTGCAAGTTGTTGGTAGACAGATTGATTTTATCAGAAACAAAAATAAAGGGTGATGGGAAAGATGGAATTGGGGTTGACGGTGGTTGGAGAAGGGGGACAATGGTTATGATGGGTGAGGGGGTAATGGTCAACATTGGAAAGTGAAGGAGATAGCGAGAATGAAAGAGAAAAATAGAGAGGACAAAGTGCAAAAGTGGGAGACGAGGTACAAGTCTGTGTGTAGGGTGGTGTGGGGTGCAAGTCATGTCTGTGTGGAGTTCAATGAGCATAATCAAAAAAATGAAACTATACTAATAATTGATAGAAGTAATTCCAATAAACAAAACAATTTTACAAACAGTATAAAACTCCCAAATCCTTTAAAAGCGGCTAATAATAATTAAAATTAATATCCATTAAAAAAAGGAACCTGAATGATCCTGTGCTATAGGATTAGCATTAGGGGTTCATAGTGTGAGGGCAATTGCAGATGGAAATGGCAAGCAATGAAAGAGCATACACGATCCAGGAAATGAGCTTGAGGCAGAGGGGGAAAGAGACGGTGATGGCCACAAAGAAAGCAGTAACTCCACAGAGTAGTCCAGCGTGCTCAAGCAAGCAGCCTGGTTTTGGGTAGTTGGCAACAATGTATTTAGCAGATGGAAATGGCAAGCAAAAGAGCATATACGATCCAGGAAATGAGTTTGAGGCAGAGGGGGAAAGAGACGGTGATGGCCACAAAGAAAGCGGTAACTCCATAAAGTAGTCCAGCGTGCTCAAGCAAGCGGCTTGGTTTTGGGTAATTGGCAACGATGTATTTAGCAACAACGAGAAAAGCGAGTGTAAACACCATTAAGGGACCCTGCAATTGGAAGGTTATAGGGTAGTGTTTACGAGTCTAGATGGATCGGAAGGTGATTTCAAAAGTTGCTGTCAAGCAGAACGCTACAACTAGCTTTGGCAATTCTAGGTCTTGTTGCTGAGCATTGCGTGGAATAACTGGTTCAGGTGGGGCATCAAGACGAGGAGGAGGAGGAGCTTGGGCTACTGATTTAGAAGGCTCGGCGGTGGTGGCAGCAGCTGCATCAAAATGATTGAGAATTTGAATCATTGATTCAGAAGGCGGCGGAACTTGGGCTCCCAAGTGTTCTTGGGTCGTGTTGGAGGCTGGAAAACCGCCCAAGTCCGTCGACCCAGATGAAATTACTGGTTCAGGCGGGGCATCAAGACGAGGAGGAGGGTAAGGATAAGCATACTTTGGATCATTCATCTTTGCAACACCCAAGTCCGTCGATCCAGATGGAATTACTGGTTCAGGCGGGGCATCAAGACGAGGAGGAGGGTACGGATAAGCATACTTTGGATCATTCATCTTTGCAACACAACCCCAAAACAAGAAAAACAAAAACAAAAACAAGAAGAAGAAGAAGACGATGATGATGAAGGAAAGATCAGAGAAACAGAGAGAGAGAGATGTGCTTGAGTGGTCTCACCTTGCTCAAACTTGTAGTTGTTAAATAGACGAGCTAGCTATATGCCGAAAACAAAAAGCACTAGTTAAATTCAACATGTCTTGAATAGAATGTTTTCTTTATTTTCTCTTGAATAGAAAATATTCTTTATGAACCCTCTATCCACTTTTTCCATAGTTGATGCAAAAAAACATTTATGGCCTTTATATTCTAGTTTCATAAAGAACCCAACAACAAGAGATTCTTAAGGGAAAAGGAATCCTACAACAAACTTATATTTCTGGCCTTTATCTTTTAGCTTTGTAAAGAATTGATCATTATTTTAGCTTTGAAAAGAAATTCTTTTAGCTTTATTTTTAGCTTTGGAAAGGAATTCTTTTAGCTTTGTTTTTAGCTTGGAAAAGGAATTCTTTTAGCTTTATTTTTAGCTTTGAAAAGAAATCCTTTTAGCTTTGAAAAGAATTGACATTTTCTTTGAAAATAAATTCTTTTAGCTTTGAAAAGAATTGACATTTGCATAACAGTGATTTTTGATTATATTGATTTACAATGTGTTGGTTGCATTTAGTTTTCTTGTAAATTTGTAGAGCATTATTTCCATTGTGCAACATCATCTATTTCTAACTGAATTATAATAAATATGGATGCATCTCATAGTGTTTTTTCATTTGAATAGCTTCTCATTTTTCATTTGGTAACCCAAGCTACTTGAATCTCAGTTTGCATGGCAGGATGCTGCTATTTGCCAGATATTGTAAAAAATTGAGCTCTTTCTTTTGAAGTACCGGAGTAGTCTATAAACTAATATGCAATTCAATACGATTATGCATAGTGGCTGACAAGGCTAACTAACAACATAATCTATATCTAGGTGAGTATGAGATGGATAAATTAACTTACCAACCTGCCTCTGACATCTCTCCCTGTCAAATGAATCTTTAGTTTCATCCCCTAACATGCAATTCTGCTCCAACATGGTATCAGTAGCTTTATACCCAAGCACACTTTGTCCTTAAGAAGGTCCAAAACATATGTTCTCAGTGAGATAAACACTCTCTTTGAGATGTTGAAACATCAATACTCAAGAAGTACTTTAAGTTACCAAAGTCTTTTATCTCAAACTCCTTAGTAAGATAGCTATTCAACTTCTGCTTTTCTATAGATCAAATATCATCAACATACACAAGGAGTGCAGTAACCTTGTTTTCATGTGACTTGAATAAATTGGGTATGGTCATCTTGACTCTATTTGTAGCCACATCTAAGCATAGCCCAAGTAAACCTCTCAAATCATGCTCTAGCAGACTTTGTAAATCCTATAATGCCTTTTTAAGCTTGCACACTCCCATCAACTGAGAAATCCTCAAAGCCAGGTGGAACATCTGTCAATACTTCTTCCTCTAAGTCTTCACAGAGTAAAGCATTCGTCATATCTAATTGTTAAAGAGGCTCAATATGTTAATTCTCTAGAATAGGCCACACAAAGAGCTTTTGAAATGGCAATGCTGTGAATTTCAGTTAATTTGAGTGCTTAACTAACTTGCCATGAGACAAAATTGCATGCTCATATCAGTGAGTTTTTTCAAGAATATGTCATATCAGAGAAATTCTACCTTGCAGCAAACTTGACTCCACAACGTCTGGCTTATTTATTCTCTTTTCTGCAAACTGTGCTTTAAGCCGTATGAAATGTTCATGAGTACTGTCATTGCTTCTAATCTGGATTTTCACATGACTTTGTGGATACATCTCTCATTGATAACATCTAAAATAACTTCAAAAGCCTGATAAGTGATGTGCGCTTGGCCGGTCACAATGATCTTCGGTGCTATTACTGGAATAGAACAACCAACTTCACTGGATAATTATACTTGATTGACTAGCATAAGCAAATAATATGAAGTGCCAAGCACTTAAAAGGTATTGATCATTCTCAGTGACTCCTATTAGTTCTTCTGTGTCATTTTACATCCTTTAACATTTGCTCAATATTGATGACTGCGTATTTCAATAAACTCACAGAATTTGACTTTCTTCATAGAATGCTTGCATGGCAGTGAAACTGTAATATCTACTCAGACAGTTCTCACATCCTAATTATCTCTAGCATGTGGGTGATTTTATCTATGCATTATCCACTTATTATATAAATGAGTTCAAATTTCCAGTTGCAGGATGTTGATGAATGAAACACTGTCAATGGCAGATATTGAACTTTATCAACAACAAAAAAAAATTACTTCTTCTATTTGCATTGCAAAAGGATCCCAGTTCCCTCCCTCTCGCACTCCTGCCTCTATCACTGCTCTGTCTCCATCGCAAGAGTTGCTGTACAGGTATCTCCCTCTCTCTCTCTGTATCTCCCTCTCGATTTGCCTCAGTTTCTATCTGTCTCTGTTTACACACACACACATACATATATATATATATATATGTATGTATGTGTGTGTGTGTGTGTGTGTGTGTGTGTCAAAACACACAGAATATTTGTTGTACGAAATGCCCTCAATTAGGGCATTGTTATTCAAATGTGTTTGAAATGAAAAATTAGGGCAATGCTTGGGGTGAATCAACCCATTTGCTACATAAACTAGGGCAAAGAGTACTTTTGGCATCTTCATTCTAGTATTACCCATTTTTTAACATATGGCATTTTTTAACATATGTTAGCTCAAGTGAAAGAGTACTTTTGGCATATTATGTAATCCATGTGAATTTGTATAATTAATCAAGTATACAAACATTGATAGAGTAGAATAGTGAAAAATGATTTATGTAGTCTATCTCACTTGAATAGGATACAAGCCTTAATTTTAATTTGGTTTGGACTGTGGCAATGCATTTTTCTATTGGTTAAATGGTGGATCATCAATCTTACATGACAATAATGTTTTTTGTTGTAGGCAATGTGAGGTTAGTTTGCTTTTCTAACATAAATTCTTCAACTAACTAAGGCATATTGATTGCTAAAGGAAATTGTTTGCTAGTGAAGATCCAGTCATCCTCTGATCAGCTGCTATTATGTAGCTTGGGTATTTTTTATATTAACATTAACAGTTAGGGGTGAACCGCTGATATGTACCTTGGGTATTTTTTATATTAACATCAACAGTTAAGGGTGAAGGATGGAACATTTCATTTTGCATGACAACTTGGTAATTTGAAATATACTTGTATAATCATATTACAGTACAAGGGATGTTTATCTTGGACTTATGAATAGGGATTTTCTGGACCAAACAACTCTTTGGCTCAATTGATTTGTACCCGAAGTTGACATCCTCTTACTTTTGTTTCACATCAAAGTCTTTTCTACAAACCTGTATTGTCCAACAAGATGAGGGATTTTAACTTTGTTAATTAAAAATTTCTTTTCTATGGTAGAAATGTGATTCTCAAACAATTAAGAACTGTCAAGGTAGTGAAACGGCACATGAATAAATCATCTTCTTAAAGGGAACAAGGTTTGACGAACCAAGACATTGATTATGGATGTTCTAATGAAATTCAGCTGTGACATTGAAGTTTATTTGATGCCATTGATGTTGTCCTGTTTCGTTACATTCTGTTTTGTTTCTAAAGTGGCAAAAGTTGAAGTTTCCCTGAAGTAGTCACTCAAGAATAATGTGGAGCACTCCCCAGTTGCACAAGTGACCTCTACATACTGGAGAGCTGTCCATAAGCTACTCTAGGTCCAGAACACCATTTCGGAGTCCCAGAAGCACCAGGTAATTTTTCTACTCTGCAATCTCTGTCTCAAATATTCTTCCCTAGCTTTCCCACTACGCCTTCTGCTGCCTAAAACCTAAAGACTGTAGTGATAGAGCAGCAGTGTCAACCAATTTCTTTGGTTGTTGCTCAACATCATCTTAATTGGCCTGCATTTTGCTTAACTTCATCTGTCAAAATAGCCATCCAATTTATTCAAACCTGACTACTCAACTTCCTCCAATTTTTTTTTTCCATTGCCTTCTCACTAACCTTTGCCTCCCACTTTGTAGTGAGTTACCTATCATAGCCCAAGCTTTATAGTGACTTGCTATCTTCTTTGCTGCCACTGCATTCTGCATTGCTATATGATTCCCTACAACAGCAGTCCTCGCAGGCCCCAACTGGTCTGTTTATGCTGTCTCCATGCTACTCATTCTCATATACACCACACTAATAAGCATGAACGAGAACCAACCCCCCAAAAAAAATACACACACGCACACACGCATTTTATCCAGTGTCTGTAAGAATATGAATATGTACACTCACACAGCAGAGTACGGAAGGTTTTGTTTGAGCAATTTGCAGAGAATGAAAATGCCTTGGTGGGAAGGCTACCTACTTCAGAAATTGTTCTTGAAAATCTTCCATTGGTGTTTGTGGATGACGACAATGCACTTTGTGTAGTTTGTAAGGATCATACAAAAATTGGGGAACAAGGAAAGCAGCTACCTAGTTCATTCCTTTACCAAAGAGCATGTCATGTGCAGTGAAGTATTCTAAGCTCAGGTTTTATCTTGGAAGTTTTTTTTTTTCTCATGAGCGTCAGATTGTATCCATTGTACATAATGATGATGAATAGTCTCATTGTGCAAATCACTTATATTTTCATCATTGTAGATATAATTATGTTTTGTCCCATGTGTAATTTACCTCCTGATAAATGAGCATGTAATTCCCTTTTGTCCAAGAATGTATTTCACTGTTCAATCCACAAGCCATAGAGGATAATCACACATTGATCAAATTACAAAGTGTAAAATCCACGTTGCTTTGGAAAAAATACTTTAGTGTGTTTAATATTTCAATTAAAATTTGAATAAACATGAGGTTGTTTGTACTTTTGTGTTGTCTTGACGTCCATGTTGTAATGGTTCAATGATTTGCTCATGTGTAGTAAGTTTTTTTTTCATTCAAAATTTGATTTGAATCAATAATTGGGTGAAGTTTAGGTAGAATTTTATAAAATTACAGGAGAACAAACTATTATAGGTGGATTGAGAAAGTGGAAGATAAATAAATAAAAAAAATGTTATATGTATGAAAACTCTTACTAAAACTTTTGATGAAATATACATGTTCAAATATCATTAGATGTCCAAGCATTATTATATTTTTCACAATCAAATCTATTAAATCTTTTGTACTTTTAGCAAAAATTTTAGTGAGAGTTTTCTATATGGGTAAATTATACTTTGGCCAAGTTTGGCAAGTCCATAAAAAGTCAAAAAGTCAAAAAGTTAAAAAGTTAACACTATTCACCAAAAGTTAATAATTATGGCTGCAAAACTCTCAATCTTAATTTTTTTCTACACACTAATTTATACAATTTTTTAATACACATTTTTTCATAAAAAGTTAAAAAGTTAACCCAAACATTCATATTTTTTTTTCTCAATTTTTAGTCCAAAAAGACAAAAAGTACACTTATTTAGGACACCCCAAACAACCCTTTTGTCCCCTTTAAGTTTGGTCACTTCACTTTGGCTCTTAAAGTTTATTTTTTTCCACTTTGACCCTTTATGTTTCATGTTTTTCCCAATTTACTCCTAAAACTATTTTTTGTTTGAAATTAGACAAAAATGTCACGATAACTGCCACATAACATAAAAAAAAAAAATTATTATATTAGGGTTTGAGTTTGTATTATATGTGCAAGTTATATATAATAAATAATTGGGTTAATTACATAAAAAATTCCAGGGTTTCATGCCTTTTTCATTTTAAACCCTAGGTTTTCAATTTCAACAAATTAAACCTCATCCTTCCACCTGTGTTTCAATTTGGCCCCCCGTCCATCTCCATCATATTGAAGTAACAAAAATTTGGACAAAATTTCAGATTCAAACCCATATGTTTAAGCACTTGTATCTCTCTCGTTATAACTCTGTTTCGCCTCATTTTCACGTCGTTTCATTCACCTCATGGCCTAGTTTCATTCCACTCCTCGTATGCTTTGTTCTACCTCTTTTTGCATGCCGTCGGACCTTCGAAAGTTGACCAAAAATAAGATTTTTCTCCCTTTAGATGAAATTTTAAGATTCAAACCTACATGTTCAAGCACCTCTATTTTGCCTCATTTTTGCTTCGTTGATTCATCTCAAGGCTCAGTTTTCATTCCACCTCTCATATGCCTTGTTCCACCTCTTTTTGCATGACATCGGAGCTCCAAAAATTAGCCGAAAATAAGATTTTTTCTCTCTTTTTCCCCCTCTCTATCTTCTATCTCTAGCTTCTTTCTTTTTCCTTCATTTCCACAATTATTCTCTCTTTTCCTCTTCTTTCATGGCCCTTCCCCCACCCTTATGTTTCTTTCCCTTCTTGTAAGTCATATACCTTCATATTTGACGGTATTGCCACCATCAGAGGTTCAGTGGCTACCATGACCTTGGTGGAAGGGCCATGAAGGAAGAGAAAAAAAAAGAATAATTGTAGAAATGGATGAGGAAAGAAGAAGCATGGAGATAGATGATAGAAAAAAAAAAAAAGAGAGAAAAATCTTATTTTGGTCAATTTTCAAAGCTTTGATAGCACGCAAAAAGAGATGAAATAAGACATATGAGGGGTGAAATGAAAACTAAGCCAGGAAGTGAATCTAACGACGCGAAAATGAGGCGAAATAGAGTTACGATGAAAGGGATACAAGTGCTTGAACATGTAAGCTTAAATATAAAAATTTTGCCCAAAGAGAAACATCTTATTTTTGGCCAACTTTCAGAGCTTTGACGGCACGTAAAAAGAGGTGGAACAAAGCATATGAGAGGTAGAATGAAACTAGGCCATAAGGTGAATCCAACGACGCGAAAATGAGGCGAAATAGAGTTACGATAAGGGAGATACAAGGGCTTAAACATATGGGTTTGAATTTGAAATTTTGCCCAGATTTCTGTTACTTCAATACGATGGAGATGGATGGGGGACCAGATTGAAACACGGGTGGAAGGATGTGATTTAGTTTGTCGAAATTGAAAACCTAGCGTTTAAAATGAAAAAGGCGCGAAACCTTGGAATTTTTTTGGTAATTAACCCTAAATAATTTTAATGTCATATGACTATTCATGTATCATTTTCTATCTAATTTTTAATTGAAATTTATTTTATGATAAATTGGAAAAAAACTAGAAGCATGAAAGACCAAAATGAGAAAAAAACATACTTTAAGGTCAAAGTGGAAAAGTGACTAAACATAAAAAAGGGCAATGTATAATTTGTCCTTTCTATATTATTCAAATAGAATATTTTATG